AACGCAAGAATCGCAAGAAAGGCGTCCAGGAGAACGGAGTAGCACCAGGAGGTAGAAAAGATGGAGAGCCAGCAGCCCCAGAGGGGCAAGCCCTGGGAGCAGGAAGCCCCGAGCAAAAGCAGGGCCCTGTGCCTGGCAGCAAGAAACACAAGAATCGGAACAGAGGGGTCAGGGAGAACGGGGTGGCAGCAGCAGGCAGCAAGGGTGGAGCTGTGAACGGTGATGCCGTGGCTGACAAAAAGAAGAAGAAGAGGAATAGAAAAAGAAAAGGTGATGCAGGTAACGAAGCTGAGCAGGTTCCAGCTGCAAAGAAAGCCAAAGGGAGCGCCAGCCAGGAGACCCCGCAGAAGCAGGGCAAAGCCAAGAAGAAAAGGAAAGAGAAAAAAGCTCCAGCGCTGCAGGAGTAAAACTTCATGGACTCACCCAGGCCTGGCATGGCTAATGTGACTCAGAGGACTGTTTTAGCATCTTTTATAACTATATTTTTATGCCCTCCTTGAATTTAAATAAAACTGCCATAATGCTGAGCTCTAAAGCTGTAGGTCTGGCTTGTGTGGGAGGTTCAGCTAAAGCTTCAGGAGGCCTCGTCCTCTCTGGGCTCTGGCAGTGCCAAACAGCCTGTGCTGGGGAGCACGGCCTCCTTTTTTCCCCTTGATTTCCCCAAGGCAAATGCAGGAGGCTTGCTTGGATCCCCTGGGGAGATGCGGTGGTGAGCTGGCACTGCTGTTGTGTGGTCAAGCCCTGGAGATTCAGGAGTGATCCCTAAAGGGATGTTTCTGTCCTGGCCAGGCCCAGCAGTGCTTGCAGCTTTTCCAGGCTGGGAGATGCTGAATACCTGACATGCCTGGGAGTTAAATGGGTTTGCACTTGCATATTCTGAGGTTAAATATATCCAATTTGGGCTGCTCAGGTGTCACCAGTAACTACCATGAGCTCACCGCTTTGCTTTCTCTTGCACAGCCATTTGCTGGAAGGGTGACGGCCCCTGTGACAGCACAGGGACATCAATAAAGCAGTGAAGCAATGGAAATGGTTAATTGATCTGCTGGGCTGCCAGGCCCGCAGTGCAGCCACGCACACACCTGCTACCAGCAGGCATGCAGCACTCTGCGAAGGCGACCACTCGGAAAAGCTTCTTCTTACTTATCCCTGGGCTCCTGAAAGCCATCAGCGCTCTGCAGAATGCCAGGACCTCCTTCTTCACCGTGCCGGGCTCTTGGCTCTCGTGGGAGCTGGGTCTGAAGGCGTTTGAAACCCTGCTCACATTGTGGTTGCCTCTAAAGCCTCTTCCCTCCTTGGCTGTCCTCCCGCAGGTGGGTCTGTTCTGCCAGACACGGGTAAGGGCACCAGAATTGCCGTGGGGCTTTTGGAGGGAGCGAGAGAAGAGCTGCAAAAGGCTGCGTTTGGCCGTGGCTGTTTGTCCATCTGCCTTTGCAATGACTTAAATGGCCTAAAGGTCCCCAGGAGGCACTTCCATGTCCCAGCAGCGATCCCCGAGGCCTGCCGCGCACCCCAAGGAGCTCCTGGCAGCAGCGGGTAAGGGCTGGAGCTGTGGTGCCTGCTGGCAGGGCTCAGCAGAGGGTGTCCTGCCTGCCCCTGCCTTTTTTGCTTCCTGCCTTCCCAGCAGCCTTCCTCTGGCCCTCCAGGGAGGCAGCACCGAGGAGCACTTGGTTCACTGGAGGCTGCAGCCTTCGTCTGTGCTGGGTGAGGAGGGGGAGCTGGCTGGAGCTGGGCCCTTCGAGTCCAAAACCTTTTAGGCAGAGGCACAGGCTGGGGAAGGAGGAGAAGGGGAGCTCTGTGAGGTTGTCAGGGTCCCTTGGCACGTGAAGGGAAGCTCTCCTTTAGCCCCCTCAGGCCAACTGTTGGCCTCCAGGCTCAGCAGGGGCTGCGGTGGTGCAGGACTGAGCTCGGTGAAGGCTGCTGTTGGCCTCTCAGTGCAGCGCTCTCTCACTTGCAATTTCCTCACCTCAAACATCAGCCAGTTCTGAGCAAACTGGGGCTGGACTCACCCTGACAGCGCTTTTCTCCCAAGCCCTTTGTTGATCTGGGTGTTATTGCAGGGCCTTGACTAGAAGAGCTGCTCTCGCAGCCGGCAGGAGAGCTGCCAGCCGTTGTGCCCAGCCAGAAGGTGTTGGCAATTACTGCTGCTCCTGTCTCCAAGAGCAAGGAGACAAAGAGGGCTGCTGGCACCGGGGCTGTTGCCCAGTCTCTGCCATTTCATACTGAAAGCTGGTTCATTGCCTGGTTAAAACCTCAGTCCCAGCCAAGCCCTTGGATCTCGATGCCCCCCCAGCTGTCTCCTGAGTGCTGACTTCTCAACTTCTGTGCAGACGCAGCAGGTAAGAGGCCAGCAGGTCATCCAAGGCCAGCAGGTCACACGCCTTTAATGGTCTGGAGATGCTCTGAAGGGGAGCAAAGGTTTCATGTCTTCAAGTCTGCCTCACTAATGATTTCTTTCCTTCTCTTTGTGCCTGGAAGTAGCATGTCCTGGGACTTTGCACTGCTGCCCCTGCAGAACCGGAGGAGAAACAGAGTGCAGGTGTGGGGAGGGGGAAGCCAGGTGAGCAGACAGGTACCGGGTATGTGGGGATTTTGGGGACAGCACTGGAGCCCCCTGGACTGTCTCAGGTTGTGCAGCAGGACAGCAGCATCCTGATGGTGGTGGGAGCTGAGCCTGGCACTCCCGGGCCTGGAGGTGGTGGCCCAGCAGGTACTGGGGCCGCACGCAGGAGTCTGTCCTGCGAGCCCTTGCAGTGAAGCCTTTGGGGGTGTCTGAGGGTCTCCTCCCCAGCTTGTGTGATGTGTGGCACTCAGACACCACTGGGTTGTTTTAAGGACCAGGTTTGAGGCCATGCGGATCCGTTTGTCCTTTTGGGAAGAAACCAGGGCAGGGCGAGGCACGGTGTGGAAGCGCTGCTGGCCTTGGACCTGGCAGGGGGATGGCACCTGGGCAGTGCCTGCCGCCAGGCTGGAGAGGCGCCCTGACCACTGCTGTGCTCCTGTGTGTGTCTGCAGCGTTTGTAGAGCAAAGGGAAAAGGGACACGAAAGCTGTGAGGCATCGAGCACACTGCTGCACTAACAACTTCATTGCCAATTAAATTACCTGGCTTTAGCCTGGCTTTGATGCATGGTGTATAAATGCAGTCACTAATCCACCACGGCAAATCGTGTTTCACCGGCACTTATTTGTGCCTTCCAAAGGTTTCATTTGCCTTGATTTCATGTCCATCTGTCACCGGACCTTCAGGGCTTGCAGGGGATAGACCAGGCTTTGATTTTAATGAAGCCTTTTCTTTTCAGCTGTCCTGGGCTCAGAAGCTCTTTGGCAGTGATGAGCGCTCCAGGGTTGTGCTGAAGGCAAGAAAAGAGCCACAGGCCCTGGGGCTCTGAGCTCCGGGAGCTCTCCTGCCTGTCTGTGGGCCTGGTGCTAGAGGAAGGCCTCTGCCTGAGGCAGGGGGGTCCTGCCAGGATCAGGGCTGTGAGCTCGCCTTTCTCAGCCTGATCCTTGTCTGAAGGTTATAGACTGTTTTAACCAAAATCACGATCTTTTGGCCCGAGGTGCATTAGGACTCTCCCCACTGGCGGTGACTGGTGGAAGAGTCGGCCTGAATTCCTAGGGGAGGCTGCAAGTGGCAATCGGGTGAAGCTGGGTGGTAAAATCTGCCCCCTGCAAAGGGCAATAAACACCTGCCTGTCCCAAGCTGAGCAAGAGGGAGAGGGGCTGTGAATGGGGAGAGGAAGTTTTTGTGGCAGGAGTGATGAGAGGGCGACTGCTGGGGCACTGGGGGTGCCCTGTGCCGCCCCGGCTGCTTGCTGCTGGCTTGGCCTGGGGCAGTGCCTGGTGGCAGGCTCTGTGCTGCAGAGGGGGTCCCGGGCCGGCTGCAGCCCCTCTGTTCCCAGCATCCAGGGCCACAGCACGGCTCTTCCTGGTGGCCGGAAAGCCTGGCCGCGTGGATTTCCTCCTGACTTGCCTTGCGTCTGTTGGCCATTGTGTATAGCCACAGAAAAGGATGAATCAACTGTAAACGTGTCCTTTTTGGCATATTTTTCAAATGCTAAGCTTAATGCTTTATTTGTGTCATACTGAGATTGTGCCGGGGACAACAGGAGGGGGCTGAAGTGTGTTGGAGTTGATTGGAAGTGAAAGAGAGGTTGCCAGGCAGTTGGGATCTCTGTACAAATGTAAATGACCACCAGCAGCGAGCTCAGACACCTCCAGCATCAATGGCAGCAGCTTGTACAGCCCGCTTGGTCTTCCAAAGGTGATGCCCTGCTCTGGTGTCGACGTGTGTTGAGGGTGGTCAGAGAAGGTGCTCTGCAAGCTCGTGCTGTGAGGCTGTGTCGGACTGCAGATGGCCTTGGTGGGATCTCGAGGGGACCAGCGTGGGGAGGATTTATCAACAGGGACAGCTACTGGGGCTGGAAGAGTGACCGAGTGTCCGGGTGGCTGTGTGGGGTGTGGGTACGGGCACGTGGATGTCTGTGATCCAGAAAAGGGAACAGTACGGCCGTGGCAGTAGTTGTTGGCTGATGGATGCTGAAGTAGCGGAGTTTCAAACTGAGCTGCTGGAACATCAAAACCTATGAAACCGTGCTTAAGTCACTTCCACAGTACGATTAGGCTGAAAGCCCTGAGATGCTGTGCCACAAGGTGATCAGGGTTGTTTTTTTAGACAGACAAACCCTTTGCTTGCAGCAGGGCAGGCCTCCTGGCCTGGACACTTGCTAGGCCTTGGACCCAGGCGGCCGACCCAGGGAAGAGGAGGCTGCCACCCCCACCCACTGCTCCCCCTGCCCCTGCCAGTGGTGTTGCTCTTACACCAGCCCCAGGCAGCTGGTGGCCAGCCCGGACACCGTGGGCTCGTTGGGGCCGTGTCAGTGTTTGTGGCAGGAGCCGTGGGGCTTGGGGCAGCCTCGTCCCAGGGACCAGCCCCACGGGCAGCAGCCATGGGAGGGGACAACCAGAGCAAGTGGTGACATAGGAAAGGGAGCCGGGAGGTATGTTTTAAATACTTTTATTTCTTAATTTACATAAAGGTATATATTTGGCTTATTTCTCTTTTTTATACTCTGAGATTCACAATCAGTTGCTCTTAAAAAATAAAATAGTCATTTGCTTCTGAAAGAAATCAGAAAACTATTTTATACTCCTCCCTTGTATAACAAGAAAATATACTATTCTACTCCCATACATCACATAGTAAAAGTGATTGTAAGTGCTGGTTTACCAAACAACAAAGCAAACAGAGAAGAAAACAAACAATTAGGACAGAAGGTGCAGAGAGGAACTCTGCTTTCCAGAGTACATCCATTCATCTAGTAGGGTTATGGCACCCTGAGGTTCTCTCTTAGCTAGTCTGTAAAAGGTGAGAGGCTCTTGGGTTCACCCAGATGGTAAGTGGTGGCAGCAGGAGGCAGTGTAGTTACTCGGGCTGGCAGCTTGCTGCTTTTTGGGTAATTTTCTTGCCTCTCTGTGCAGTTCCCGTTACCTCTGTTCCTCTTGCTGTGTACGAGCAGCCTGGCTGCTTCACAGTGGTACACTGGTGCAAATGCACTATTAGCTGCGGAGGGAGTTAACGCTTGCTTAAAAAAAAACACAACAAACTGTTCATGAAGTGGAGCAGAAGAAAGCCCTGGTGATTGACTGAGGGGCATCCTGGACTGTCCCTACACCCTGCACACCCTTGGACACCCCACACCCTGCACAGGCAGGCACAGACCCTGATGTGTGCAGCAAGGCTGCATCGAACCCTCTGGGTCCCAGGGAGCACAGGGAGGGTGGAAGGAGCCTGCACTGCGCTTTGCTGCAGCCCTGCAGGGAGAGAGGTGGGGAGCAAGGGCAGAGCACTGCGGAGGGGCTGGCCACAGCCTAAGGAGTGGGGTAAGGTGCAGCAGCACCAGCCCAAAACCTGAACCCTCTCCCCTCACTTGGCTCCCTCGCCTGAGATGGATACATGCATGGGAGGGCATGAGGGATGGGGTGCTTGCTCCCTTTTGGTGTAGTATTTTCCCCTATGTTTTCAAATGCGTTCAAGGGCTGCTTTTTGTGCATGCTCATTTTCAGACATTCACATGAAGTCAATTTGTGTGCAGGAAACCAGAGGCTTTGCAGGTGTTTCTGTCCTTACTGCGACCATTTAATTTTATGTGGAAGTTTTGAATTGCAAATGTAACCTTGATGGTCTGAACAACTATTTATTTAAGTGATGGGCTGAAATCTTGCATCGTTGGTTGTGATGGATACTAAAATATGTGTATTCTTTATTAAAGACTAATTATCTTTTCCTATTACCAGCCTTTCTTTATAAAAACAGAGATACTAATTTTCATAAGGGTTGTTATTCAGCTTTGCTATAAGTAGTACGTATCCAGCCTAGACGTCTGTTCTCATTCCAGAAACACTTCCTATGTGTATACCAAAAATGGTTCCACTTGTACACTGCTTTATGAGGTCAACAGCCAAATGGTCCTAACAGCTTCTGGGCCTGACTACATCTATACCTACCTAAAATTGTTGCACACAGAGCTATAATGGAAACCAGCACAATCCTGCATGCTAAAGTCCAGAATTCAGCACCAGTACGATATGATATGGTCAGCTGTATTTTAATAATGGGGAGCTTCTGACCTCCACTATAGTACAGAAACACAACAGCACTTCATTTCAGCAGCAAGTGTCTCAGCTCTGCACGTACAGGAACTGAGGCCCAGGTAGTGACTTTCCCCAAGGGTCTGCAGACCCTTGATCCAAGTGAGCTGGTTTCCCTCTAACAGACAGAGTAACGTTATAGAAGCTCTCACTGAGTAATTCTTCCAGTTTGGAATACAAACACACAGCTAAAACAAGACACACTCAACAAGAAATCCAACCTTTCAGCTTCTAGCCATTTGAATACGGAGCCATGAATATGTAGAGGGGCAGCAGCCAGATTTTCTGTCCCTTCTCCTGTTCATCTCTCCTGAGCTGTCATTGCTGCTGCTTTGGCTCCCCTCTCTTAGCCTGGAACAGGTGGGAGCAGGGATTCAGGGGTCCCTTGGCATGGAACTGCTGCAGGTAGGACTCACTTCTCACTCCCTTGTTTACTCCCATCCCCTTATCCTTGTTAAAAAGAAAGCCACAGCAATTTCCTTCATATTCACAGAAGATAAAGCTGGCCTCCTGTAACAGTGCAGAGCTTCTCCAACAAGGACTGGGGTTTGTCACAAACAAGGAGAGCTGGTGAAACTACAACACAGTTAAGTTCCCTTTTCATTATTGACGCCTGAGAATTACATTTAAGGATAATTTCTAACTTCTGAACTTTTGCATTAATGCTTCATTTTGTTGACAGTAAATGCTACAGCAGAGAGAGCCTATCAGAAAAGCAATTTGGGAAATACAGCAAATCTTCTTTGGTCTCTGAGATGAAATGACTAATTGTTTGGTTGCTTTTTGTTTCTTTTTAGCCAGCTTAACAAGGAATTTCTTAATGGGAATCAGAAATTCATGTGCCTTTAAAGCCAAAAATTTGGCTCCTAGACTACAGCACTGGTATTTCCCCTACAAACGTAAATAGTGGCACGAGGTGGGAAATGAAGCATTGTTTTGGATTTGTTTTGCTTTATTATTTCTAGCACCCACTTGCTGTTTTCCAGAGGATGCCCAAGCACTCGAGGAAAATTTGTGGCACTAGTTGCTTAACCAAATCTTAGAGCCGTTGTAAAAGTATTTGAGGTGACAGGCTAGCCTCTGCAGAATAGTCCTGTGGAGGCTCGGGAGGAGGAAATGCTCACGTTGTTATAGGAGTCACCCTCAAAACACATCTGCCTGGGCAGAGACTGGCTACGCAGTGAGTGCTGACCAGTTTGCTGGTAACTGGAGTTACTGACTGTCTTTACAATAGCGGTGTACTGTAGCTCACAGTACATCCAGCAAGTGAATGAGAGGTAAAACCCACCTTTACTAACAGCACCTTCCCTGAACAAATGTACACCAGAATCAGGACAGCCAACTTCCAGACTTAAATTGGTTCCAGTCCCAGCGTTGCATTTCCTTTGCTGATTTAGTCTTACTTGCAGCCCAGCCACAGCTACTTATGAAACATGAGCACAAGAGCGAGGTGCAGTCACCTTCTCAAGGTGTGCACTAAACTGGAGAGAGTCTAAACTATGGCAAACATCTGAACATTGCAAGGGAGTGGGGAGCTCATGGAAGAATGCCCTTTCTCTGGAAGCCTGACTTTTTCTCCAGGGTCTGTGCTCTCCCTCCTTCCCCACACTCTTGCAGCATCAAGCTGACATAGCATAAATTTGGCTTGTGCAGGACATAAGACTCTTGGGGAATGGCACTGACTGTTTTACAGACACACTCTTCTGCATTTGTTCAGACACTGGCCTTGTATATTAAAGATCTCAAGTACATCTTTATAAAGATAAATGATTAACTGACACCCCAGTAAGAGCAGGCTGGGAGTGTGCTTGGGGATGGACATGCATTTACCTAACCATCGTTCCAAAGGGAACAGCTACTGTAGAGTATCAGCCACCTGCTTTGAAAATACTGACAAGGGAGAATTAGCACGGACAATGCACATCCCGTGATATGCGTGTAAACAAAGCGTGATGTCACTGGCACAGCAGTATTGCACTACCAGGCCCTAGGTAAAGCAATTCAGCCAGCTGGATTTTGGTATTTTAAAAACCTGTGAATCTCCTCGGCAAGGCTGAATTTAGTATATTGAGCAAAATCTGGAGCCCCTAGGTATTTCTGTCAAAAGTTCTGGGCCTTTCTGTAACAACCGCCAGCATACCCAGTGCAGTGAAACGCTCTCCTCTGTCCCATTGCTCAGCCTCGGGTGACAGGCAGTCATCCAGCCCCTGGGACTCTTCCTGTGGTGCCCTCCCAGGGCCTGACAGCAGGGCACTGAGATGAGGAGAGTTGTGGACGTATTCATGGCTGGTAGGGTTGCACAGGCAGCTCCAGATCTCAAACGTTTAAATAAAAACTGTTTATCTAAATATATATATTTATATATATGTCTTCAGCAGAGATAAAGCATCTTACGACGTATTTAAATAAAAAATAATAATCTGAATTGAGCCTTCAGTGTTAAAGAAAAGGTGATGTACAGAACAGGTCCCCAAACTAGTGCAGTCTCTGGGTGCGGGAGTGCTGGCAGAACAGCAGCATTCGCTAGGACGGAGCTTGTCCTATAAACGATGTGGACTTCATCGGCTACAACTAAAACCATGTACACAATCTACAGTCACTCACTTGGGTTGTGGGGCCGGTGGAGAGTTGCTTGCGATGCTCAGAGGAACCTGGGAATGTCCTTACGCTCCAGCAGCGTCTGTTCCAGGCTGCCCTGCTCATCTCCTGCTGCCCGGCCCCGCAGGTGGAGCGCTGCGATGGGTTTGGTGCTGGAGAACCCTCCCAGGGCGGCGTGGAACTGAAGGAGCCGCCAGTTCCAGTATGGAAGGGCTTCGAGCTGGAGATTGTGGTGGTGGAAGCAGGAGTCCACATGTGGTTTCCTTCACTGGCAACTGCAAACAAGAGAAAGTCTGGTTAGTGGGCTCAGCGTGAGCGGTGCTTGGTAATGGTGAAGCACAAAGATCCAGGCAAACTCTGTCCCAGATTTACACTCCTGCCTGTATTAATTAAGGGTGTCAGCTGTGTCCCGTTCACCTCAGTGTTACAGGTACAGCTGTGCTGTGGGTTGCAGTGGCACAGTGGCTGCTTTTAACCCCTACAGTTCATCCAAGAAGAGCCCGCCTCTCACCTAAAATTGTCATTTTCAAAACTGCTCCTCCTGGAGAGCCCGGTTAGGGGTGGGGGCAGCCCTGCATGCACATCCCCAGCGCGGAGCCCCGCTGCCAGTCCTGCTGCTGGCAAAGTGGAGCAGGCGCTGCCTTCAGCCCGATGCTGGTGGTGTGCACTGGCTTTAAAGGGCAGCATCAGCATCTCCCCTGACTGGTGAGATTCCACTTGTGCACGCTGTGGATTATTGAAGCAGCCGGCCGCTTTCCTAGCTTATGTGGAAAGCATAACCAGCTCTCTCGCTGCAGGATTTCCTGCGAGAGGTTCTGTGCTCCATATTGTGCAGGAAATTGTCCCTGACCTTAAAAACCAGTGACTGCTGGGTTATGGAAAAATTCCCTATAAGGATAGCCTGGTTTCTCTCAACTTGTATAAAATGGGACCAAAAGAGAAAAAAAAAGTACAGTGAAAAAAACAAAATGTGTGCACAGGACCCAAGTGTTCAGTTCTGTAAGGCAAGTTGCAGCAATACCAACTCATACTTGCTCCCCAATTTTTGAGTCTTTTGTGTTTTTTTAAAAAAAACTTTGTCTAAAAGCTGCTGCTAAATGACAGCGTATGATTACACATCCAGCCCAGAGACTGCAAGGTACAGGCAGGCCTACTTTATCCTCAGCCTCTACCAAAACATCCTCCCCTCTGTGGAAATAACACATCTGCTATTCTAGAGATTGTAATAAATCGTTTTCCCCAAAAGGCCCTTCTTATGTGTGTTACCGAGTTCTGATTTTATGATTAGTCTTTCAATGCATTTAATTCATAGAAAAGAAATCTCCTCTTCAAAAAACAAATCTTGCTGTAATTAATTTTGGCTACACTAAAATGCTGGGAAGTGTTTATCAATTGTTGCAGCTCTGAGCTGCGGTGCTGTGACTGCCGGTGAGCGATAAGAACAGCCTGAACACAAGGGAGGAGAGGGAGTGGGAGTGGGAGTGGGAGTGGGACTGTCCCGCTGGCTCCCTGCCAAGGTCTCAGAGCCATCACCCTTGATTGAGGGTTGCAGTGGGGACAGTCCTAGCAGCCACACGGGCGTTCTCGTACTGCCAGAAAGCATTTTTCAGCAGAAATGTTTGGGTTTGGAATCTGCTAGAAATGGCCACGTGATAGTGAGCAGATGTTAGACCAAAAGCAAAGCAGCAGCAAGTTTTGGGAATGCAAGATACATCTGGGCAAAGCCTAAATTCTGGCTTCGGACAATCACACCTCTGGGTGTTCAAGTTGATAGGGGGTGCATGGCCTTACCTGCTCCAAGAGGGGAGCACAAGGCTTCTGGAAATACCTTAGTGCAACAAAGGACACTTGAGTTTTGACCCCTGGTTTTTGTGTTCTTGCTTTGCTCTGATTTGGGTCCAAGGTAGCAAAGGTGCAGATTGTGGCTATCAAAAATTAACCAGTTTCCAAGTGATATGGAAAGAAATGAGTTGGTAGGGGTTTGGAGAGGATGGGTAGCTGAAAGCAGTTGCTGGTTGGGGTCACTCACCGTCTCAGACTTTGACGGAGGCTGGTGGCATCACGAGGTGATTCACCCTGGGGGAGAGAGAACAAGAGCGACATGAGAGAGCTGCAGCTGGCCAAGGAGTAGACTTCCAAAAACATAGCAGCCTCTTAAATCCAGGTTCCCACTGCTTAACAGTTTCTAAAGAGATAGCACGTTATACTACAGGGCAGGACAGTTATTAAAGCTGAAACCCTTTCACAGTGGTGTCTGATAGCAGTTCTGACAATTGCTGGAACACGCCAAGTAATATTGCTGACACTAATTGACAAGGACTTGGGAAGGCCCCGGAGGCATTCAGACGTAGCAATTGTTTCCCGAAGCCAGTGACAAGGCTGTGCATACAATGCCTGTTGGATGGTGTCCTTCAGACTTGACAGCATAAATGTAAACAGTCACCACTGATAAAAATTAAATTAAAAAGAAAGCTGCCTTTCAATTTTCAGCTCCTGGAGACCTGCTGCTGTTCCAGACAACTGCTCCCAAGTGATTGATGGGGTCCGGTGAGGACTGCAGCATCGCCAGGGAGAAGCTGTTGCCTCCTGCTACTGAGGGCAGTGAGAGGGATGGATCCTGTTTGCTGTGTGAGGTACCCAGGGAAAAAAGCAGTTGTAGTTTCACAAGGTTTATCCCGTAGACCTGCTCCTTCTTGTTGCAGTACACACCCTGTGCAGTTCAGCCTTCTTCAGCAGCAGCTCTGAGCTGGAGCTGCCACCAGCTCTCCTGCAGCTGCAGATGTCCCCTCCTCTCTGGCTTTCTAAACACCACTCATGCCTTCCCAGCTTGTGGTTACTGAGGGACAGGAACAATCATCTCCTTTGATAATGTTAAGCCCAGCAGGGCCCTAATGTGGACTGTAAGAAGGACAAGTCACCCCCGGACTGCAATAAACCTGGGACTTGCTTTCTGTCTTGGGTGGTCACTGACATCAGTGGAACTGCCAGGTTCTGGATAACCCTGCTGGAAAACCCCGACCTCACTTAAGGGTCTGGCTTTAAGGAGCCACGTTTGAGTGCTTTACCCAAATGCACTCTAGCTGTACTTGGCCAAGAGGAGAACAAATGAGTCACAAAGTAGGAGTCTTCTCATACCACTTGGCTGCTAACTTAGAATAACAAACTAAAACTGGTATTGTGTACCTGAAAGGATTGCAGCAGGATTTTGCAATCACATGCAAAAGCACCACTTCTGTCTGAATCAGTGAAAAACCTGGGCAGGTTTACAGGCAAGATCACAGAAAGTATCTGCCTGAGTGCCTACCAGGTAAGAATGCAGTGAAGCATCATTTTCCTTTGGAAAATGCCGATTCATTAAAACTCTTCTGTGGCTCCCCAGACTTCACACCTGGCCTGAGACACCCTTTGATGCTGAAAGGGGATGGTGCTGGGTTAAGACCTGTTCTGGGATGAAAATGAACCAGTCGTTAGAGGTCAACTTCCAATAAATATCTGCAGCAGAAATTGGCCCAGCTCAGCCTGGAGAACATTGCACCAACCTCGCAGGAAGTTTTCTCCAAGACGCAAAGAAGCCTCTGTGCCTTTTCTGCATGTGAAGGCTCTGGACTGAGGTGGTTTTGATGCAGGAGCTGCCCTGAGCTTCTTTGTAGAATTACCATTCTTTGTAGCCCTGTTGCACTGGACAGTCTATTGAACATTTTAACTATGCTTTCATTATCAGAATACATCAGAGAGCTGAAACATCACCTTGTGATGCTCGAGGCAGTGCTAGAAGCAGGAAGTAAACCATGCTATTTTATGCAGCTATCGTAGAATACTAAAACTCCAGCTGTTTGGCTGCTCAGTAATGTTGTTGGAAAGTAATGTCCCTTACCGAGGTACCCCTTCCACATTTTACAAGATACAGAATATACACAGAAGACATTTGTTTTGACACTACACCATCTCTCGTCCCTGCATTGCTGACAGGTGAGCACACCAGGCTCTGCTTCTCGTATCACGCATGTTTCAGCCTCCTACGGAATAAAAAGTATCCCCCGCATAAGTACTTCTGCTACCTTGAAGTCATGAGAATGCCTCGTCTGCTCTATTTTAATGCATTTCTCTCAACTTCTGCTTTATCTCTCTTTTACAGAAGGGAACGGAGGCCTAGGGGGGCTGTTCCTGAAATGCACTGAGAAGATTTCACAGGCAATTAGACCCCACATGACTTTGAGAACCTGCTGGGGACAGAATGGACTTTCAGGAATCACACAGGAAGCTCGTAGGCAGAAGAGAGAACTGAAGTAGTCTCCCAAATTTCAGGGCAGCCTTCGTTCTTGATCACTGTGCTGTAGACAATGGTCACTGACTTGTGCTCAGCCGGGTTTCAACAAAGCCCAGCTGACGGGTGGCAGCAGGTCAGCTCTGAATTTATTTTTTTAAGCAAAAATGCTCATAATAAATTTTAGATTCTCTTAGGTGGTAAAATGTCTTGCATGGGCTTAAGCTAACAAGACTCAAGAGCCTATAAATCCTTATTTAAGTCCCACTTGTCTTTCTGATAATGATAATCCCACACTGAATAGGTTATCGCTTCCGATTTGGGGATATCTGCTGACTAAACAGTGGTTCCCAAATTGTTCTATTTTCTCTGCATTGTTTTCTCAAGATTGTGAATGTTTTCATTCCTTGAAGAGAGCAGGGTGGGAACCACTCTGTTATTTCCTGAGGGGGAGGAAACTTGCCCAAATTGCCTTTCAAGAACAGAAGCTGTACAACTCTTTTTGATTGTTTTTATGGGCTCCTCTAGCAGTTAAAAATGAGACCAACTCCTTCTGACCCCATCATTTCCTCCCCTGTCAAACCCAAATACTTCTCCTAGATGCTATCAAACCATTTCCATGTAATGTGACAGCATCTATAATTCCGAAGCATTTATATGACTGTCTGTTTAATATTAAACTACATGCTTTAGGGCTGTTAAATATTTATACTGTGTAAAATGCATCTAATTTCACAGCACCTCAGTGGGTGAGAGAATCGCATAAGAAAAAGAAGATGAATTTAAGATAACAGATGAGTCACCAGAACCCTTACAGGTCAGCTATACACTAGTTTCAGTTTCAGGAACTGTGCAGAGATGGTTCTCCAAGTGCTGGGTCCGTCAGTGTAGCTGCTCACCAGTCCAACAGATGCCGGAGCTTACGGTTTGTAGTGGCAGAGTACAGCTCTACACTGCTGCACAGCTCCTGGCACAATCTGGGCCTTCCAAAGCCTTTGAGAAAGGCTTTGCTGCTCAAATCCAGTCCTTGAATGCTTTGCTCCACCCTGTGCCAGCACGAACAAAACCCAGACCGCCCTTCCTACCTGCAGTTCTGACTGTTCCAGCAGTGTGGGGTGAAGCTGTGAGAAGGCACGGGGGGACATATGTCCCACTGACTTCCATAAAATACAGCCTACTGAATGTTTGAGCTCTACACCTTTATCATTTCGGTCCACGACCTTAACCTCAAGCAGGTAACGGGATGTCAAGAAGAACACACTTACAGACTGGTGTGTGGGGCACCATCGTGCACGAGACTCCTAGAGAGAGGCTGTGCTTAAATAAAACTTTTGTGAACGCTACGGACACCCTTTAATGTTCAGTTTCATACATAACTAAACAACACACGTATTTTAGTATCCTGTAGATTGCCAAAAGGCCTCGCTCTCTTGTTATCTAAACAAGTCAGGCTCTGGCTTCTGTAACAGCGAAGCGTATTAGGAAATAACATCCTAATTTTTACAGCCTGCTGTACTTAACATCACTTAACTTTTACAACCAACAATAAAACGCTTCAGTGGGGTCCTTCTAGCCTGCAAATAACTCATTATTTGACTAACAAGAGCTCATTCAGTAAAGAGTACTGGGGCTACAGGGGCAGCTACATTGCTGTACGTAGCAGCAGCCCTGCCGGTGACTAAGGCTCCTTCCTCCATCTCACAGGAGAGAGTTGTGTGTTCCTGGAGCACCGCGATGAGCTCTAAGTGTCTGGCTGAAGCAGTGCTTCAGGGGGGATACGAATGTAGGAGTCACAAATGGCACCCTTCAGCAGAGTCCTCGCTGGCTGAGTTTTCTCAGACAGTGCTGGGGTAAACCTGGGTTCAATGAGCAGCTTCTTAAAGCTGCCTGGGGAGCGCTTACTGGGCAGCAGGGCTGGTGTCAGTGGCCTCAGCAGAAAGAAGGGTCAGACCCGCTTACAAAAGCCGAACAAACTCAGCTGGCAAACACCAGGTCTCGGTGAGGTTGTTGATGAACGCTGGGAGCACCCAAGCTCGGGCAGCAGCCATCTGCCCCTCCCGTAAGCACTGCAAGGCCAAGGAGCATTTCCAGAAGGCCTCGTGAACACACTGCAACCAGAAATGGTAGGTGCTGAAGTGTTTACATGGACAGACACCCTGAAAGGCAGAGACCTTAAGGCCTTAAATCTATGAATAACATGAAATTTCTTTTCCAAATACTGCAGGTAATTAAAGAGTCTCTTTGCATCAGAGCTTTAGAGCCAATGACACACGTGCCAGCCGTGTGTCGGTGATGATTAGCAGCCCAGCCAGGTGCAGCAATCTGCAAATCCAGCTACTGAAGCTCATCAGTAGCATTCAAATCTAACATTGCTGCCTCAACCTGTGTGAGAAAAATCAAGGCGAAGCATCCTGATTTGCAGCTCCACACCTGTGTGACTTTCAGATGTGGCAGTGAATCTTATCAATTGATAAACGAACAGGGGAAGTCACTTGCACACACCGTTAGCTCACACCATCGTTATCACTGCATTCCTGCAGAGAACTGACTCAATCATTATGGAGCAGGAGAGCTTCGGGCAGCCTTCCTCTTTGGGTTTCTTGATCTTCAGATGCACACAACTTCAGGTCCATCAGGTAAAGTAAAAGCCTAGGGTAGAAGTAGTGTGGTCACTGTAGTCTTTCTCATCCCTAAAAGAGGACAAGTGTAGCTGCAGCTAAAAGAGACCTCTAAAACAAAGGAGCATGAAGTGGGCTTAGGCACAGGCAAAGCTCTCTCCCTGCACAATAACCACCTCCAGGTTTACCAGCTG